CTCGCTTTGTCTCTTTGTCTCTCTCTCTCTCTGTCTGGTGAGCGCATGCACCCTATAGCAACAGAACCTCTCCAAAAAAAAAAATTAAGGTATTTTTTTCTTTAAAAAACAAAAATACAGATGCAGTGTGGCTTCTAAAATTATAAATCACTCACAGAAACATGCTATGTCCATTATAATGGGCTAGATTGTGGCCCGGTGGTTAAGGCAGCTGGATGCCTTAATCAGTTGGCTCAAGGTTCAAGTTCCAGACCAGGTAGCTTGAAAAACATGCTGGACACAATGCCCAAAATCTCAAAAATGAAGGAGAAATGAAAAAGAGACTGGAGGGTGACCACATCCCATGGGTGCTCTCGTTCTCTCTCTCTCTCTGTCTCTCCAGCTAACACATTGGCCCTCTGGCAAAAAAAAAAAAAAAATTATTTAACTTGGATATTATTTATTTTTCAACTTGACCAGAGAGAGACACAGAGAAAGAAAGTTAAGTGAGAAAGCAAGTTACCAGGTCAGGGATTCAAACTGTGGTCAGCCACGTGGAAGTCCAGCGCCTTAACCACCACACTTCGCTGGCCCCCAAATTTGACAAGAACTGACAGAGCTCTTTATGATATTATACAATAAATTCCTATTTCTAATTAAAGTTGACAACATAAGCATCCCTGAACACTTTAGAATTGAAAGGCTTCCTGCACGTACTGAGGCAGCGTCTTTAAATCACACTGTCACAGACCCTTTCCACTGGGACCTACGATCAATAAGGTATCATCTGCTGCCAAGTGGCAATATGAAGTTTTAATCCTGATAGTTTAGAATGGCTGAAGATGACAGGGAAGGGTGAAGCCCTGATTAATTGCCCTATGCAGGTTGAGATATCAGAGGTCAGAAAAACGTTATTTCCGTGATTGAACATCCAAGCTTTAAAAAACGTGGATTCCTAGACCTCCCTGACAATTCTAGTTCAGTAAACCTTGAGCAGGTCCCTAGAATCTGAATTCTTAGAAACTCAAGTTCAGGGACAGTAGTCACCATAATTGCTATGGCGCTGGATTCCCATGTAGTTGACCGCAGTTCCGAGTCCCGGATCCGGTGACTTCAACTCTAGCCAGGCGCGTGTGCACAGGTGCTCAAGATCCCGAGAGAATGGAGGAAAAGGGATTGCGGCGTGTGATTTCGTGCTTTCCGTCTTTCTGGCGAGCACACGTGCCATATAGCAAAAACCTCTCAAAAGAAAAAAAAAAATAGAGAAATGATAAGTGACGAGGTCTTCAAAAAGTCTTTATTACAGACTTCGAACATTTTTACACCGAAAAACGCATACTTGAAACTCCAACTCTTTGAAGTCCCCTCCTACCCCTTGGGGGCACCAGTGAATAAAGCCGTAGCTCTGGAACACCAGTGCTGGTATCATACGGTCTCAAGATACCCAACCTAAAGAGGGAGGGTGCTAGGGAAGAAAAAACCGCATCTGCAAACTAGGCCTCCATCACCGTCCCGCCCCAGCTCCAGCTCCCGGGGCCGGGCGAGGGCTTCCACCCTCCGCCTTGGCCCGCCAGCGGCCCGACAGTCCGCCGGCCGTTACTGTGACCGTCCCAACACCACCATCCGGCCAAAGCCCGATAGCCGTGCCCCCGGGACCGGGCTCAGATCAGAATCGCCTCGATAATCAGTGGCCCGGGACAAGCCCGGCCTCGTCTATCTGATCAATTCATCACTTCCGAGCAACCGGGCCCCGAAGGACTCCAGGACCCCGGGGACCACGGCGTGGCCGCCGCCCAAGAGGCCTCGCTGCACAGCGCCCCAGGAAGGGGGCTTCACAGGAGGAGAGCTTCTCATTTCGGGTCGGCTCGGCGGGGCTGGAGTCACGACCCAATCAAATAAGATCAAGGTGTAGGCGGCGGGAGGGGCTCAGGGTGGGCACACGCGCTCGCCTTGCACGCCCCACGCCCGCACACTCAAGCCACACATTCGCGCTCCCACTCACTCTCGGCTCGCACGCGCCTTCCACGCGACACCACAGAACCACACAAAACCCTAGCCCAACGCCGATCTCCCGCCCGTACAGCGACGGAAGTCCTCTCCCTCTCTTTTAAAGCCTCCCCTGCCTCGGAGGCTTCTGGGAGGAACCACCGAGCGCAGGCGGGTGACTTCATCTTCCCGCGTGTATGTGCGCCTTGCTGCCCTCGCGTGGCGCGGAGGGGAACTCCGGCCCAGGGAAAGGCCGAACCGACTTTCTACGAATCCTGGTTGGCTTTTGATCTTGGTATAGCTAAATACTTATATCCAAAACTATAGTTTTCCTTTGACCTTGACTTTATTTTTAGTCGTCTTAAGCTTTAAAGTATCGGATTTCTGAATATGATACGATTCACCGAAATCACCTCCCAGGGGGGATGGCCACGCCACAATCCCTTCTCCTCCATTCTCCTCTTGGGATCTTGTGCACGCACGCACATGCTCCCGGCGTGAGTTTAAGCCATTGGGTCCGGACTCGAACCACGGTCGACTACGTGGGAGTCCAGCAACATAGCCATTACGCTAACTGCTGGTCCCTAAAGTATCGGATTTCTGAATATGATACGATTCACCGTTAGGAGAGTTATAGGTGAGTGCCTTTCCCCACGCAGACCAGTGCCTGGTCATTAGCAACAAGACTGCCAGCTCCCAGCCAGACCTTCTTCTCCCCAAACATCATTTTACCAAGAGGAAAGGTAAGGAATGGAGTACTTAAATCCGAGGACTGAGTGGGCAGGATGTCTGTGAAATGGGGAAAGGCAGGAAGACTGGGCCAAGGCGGAGCAGTGGTGAGGCAACGCTGTGCTGCGCTAAGGCCATACAGGAGGGTTCCGCTTGGCCCTTCGGGTCTCCCTGGACACGTGATCCTGGCTGGCTGAGGCTGGCGGTGGGTCGATGCAGGAAGGCCCTGTTTTTCTCAAGAAATAAACAGAAAGAGGCAGGAAGGCATATCCCTGTCCTTGCAGAGCTACCTGCCTGTCCAGAACCTGACAACGTCACAGTCCTATGACGTCATGGCTGAACCTTCGTTTACCTGTATATCCATTGAAATGTACCTGATTTTTTTTTTTAATTATTTTTTAGTTTTCCTAGGGAGCATGTGTTTGCCAAAGATATTCAGAGAGGAAAAGTGAAATATCGCCCCCCTGGGGGGACTGCCATGCAACAATCCCTTCTTCTCCATTCTCCTCTCCAGATTTTGGGCATGAACACACATGTACCCAGTGCGTTTTTCTTTGCCTTTTTTTAAAAGAAAGATTTTTGCTACAGGGTGCATGCTCTCACTAGAGGGACAGACAGAAAGCGAGAAATCATTCCCCAGGGAGGATGGCCACGCTGAAATCCCTTCTCCTCCATTCACTGCTCAGGATTTTGGGCACGCACACAAACACGCCCAACGTGAGTTTAAGCCACTGGGTCCAGGACTTGAACCATGGTCGACTACGTGGAAGTCCAGGGAGGTAACCGTTACACCATCTGCTGGTCCCCCCAGGGCATTTTTTAAGCCACTGGATCTGGGCCATGTAGGATCTAGCCACCTTATCTATTATACCACTGGTTGGCCTAAAACATAGCGGATTTTCAAACTCCAGACTGAGTAGACTGAAAATAGTAGTGATTATATAAGTAGAATTAACATCCTTCACATTAGAGAGTGATACTGGCCTGAGAAATAAAAATAAGTTTTTCTTGTTTAGTCTTAAATATATTTGCCAGGTAAAAATATGTCCTAGAGTCCTAGGTAATTTACTTTACAAAATAAGATGAGCTCATGTGGGGGCTAGCAGATGGCATAATGGTTAGGTTGCTGGACTCTCACGTTAATGACCGCCGCGGTTTCGGTCGCAGACCTGGCAGCTTGAAATTCACACAGGACACGTTTGCGTGTATTCTCAAAATCCCAGGAGAGAATGGAGGAGAAGGGATTGCTGTATGGCCATCTCCCCAGGGCATGATTTCTCGCTGTCTCTGTGTCTCCAGCGAGCACACCTGCCCTATAGGGGGAAAAAAAAAAAAACCCCTCAAAAAAAAAAAAGATGAGCTCATGCTCTCTTTCTCTCCTGACTAATCTGTACTTTCTGCACACTGTGATTAAGGTCCCCTTAACATTCAACTTTTGCAAGACACAGTCACAAGTAGCATGTAGTTAAAGACTGACGAGACTCAGGGGTCCTGGAAGTTCTTTGACTTCAGTTCTTTACCCAGAACAAACCAGATGCTAACATCTTGCTTCAGACCTCCTGGAGACTTCCAGCACCAAGAAAACAGCGCCGTCTATCAGAGATGACACCACAGAAACTGTTCAGGGAAAGTCCCTGGATTTCTAACCCAGATCCTCACCTATCACATTCCTGACCTGGGTTTAAGGCCCTGCTTGCCCCTCAGTCATGGAGGTGTAGACTCTTGGACTCTACCACTCTCCTGGTTGCTATCTTCCATAGTAAAGCCTTCCTCTGTGCAAACCCTTATCTCAGAAATTGGCTGCCGGGTCATGGGTGATCAGGCCCCATCCCCGGGGTTACGTTTGTCTGGTAACAAGAGCACGATTACTATTATTTTTAGTTTTGCCATAGGGCGTATGTACTTGCCAGAAAGAGAGGAAGAGAGAGAGAGAGATGGTGAAAGTGAGAAATCACCTCCCAGGATGCACAGCTAGGCTGCAGTCCCTTCTCTTTCACTCTTCTCAGGATTCTGGGCACACATCCACATGCACTGGCATATTTTTCTTTTAAAATATTATTTATTTTAATTTTATTTGTTATTATTTATTTTTTATTTTGCCACAGAGAGACAGAGAGACAGAGAGAGAGAAAAGGAAAGTGAGAAAGAAAGTGAGAAAGAGACTTAAACCATGGTTGGCCATGTGGAAGTTCAGCACCTCAACCACATTACCTGCCAGCTCCAACACTTGGTGAATTTTTCAAGCCACCAGGTCTAGGACTCGAACTGCACAGCTGGCCATGTGGGATCTAACCACCTTAACCACAACACCACCAGCTGGCCCACAAGAGGGTAATTTTAATAGCTCAGTTCCTCCCTTTTTCAATGAAATAGGTATGTTGTGATGATGGCTGGGGAGGATAAATCAGAATTTTGGAGATTAGCAGAAAATTATTTCTCAAGTTATAATTTGTATTTGTATGAGTTCCACTAAGCACTTGGAATAAACAAGTAAGGGGAAAGTGCTGTTTGTGCCAGAATCCCATCGGCCCAATTTTCTAAGCCTGGTTGGTTACTTGTTAACTGCACTGGAATGAATAAGTTTATGACTAATAATGGCAGATACTTATTATTATTTTAGTTTTTTTTTTATTATTTTAATTTGACCAGAGGAGGACAGAAAAAGTGAGAAAGCAAGATACCAGATCTGGGACTTGAACCGTGGTTGACCATGTCAGAATCCAGAGTGCTTAACCACCACACCACCTGCCAACCCATTATTTTAGGTTTTTGCCATAAAGCACATGCATTTGCTGGAGAGACAGAGAGGAAAAGTGACAAATCACCCCTTGCTTCATGGGGGATGGCCATACCTCAATCCCTTCTCCATTTTTCCTTTGGGATTCTGGTTGCGCACGTGTGTGCATACACACACACACACACACACACACACACACACACACGGGATGATTTTCAAACTGCTGGGTCCAGGACTTGAACCATTGTCGGCCATGTGGGGATCCAGGGTCTTAACCATCACGCCACCTGCTAGACCCATATTTGTATTTTTTTTTTAATAGACCATACATTAGTTTATTTTTAACACCCTTCATGCCATGAATTCATACGGAATAGGTTCCAGAAACTCACACTCCTTTCCATTGGTTCTCACAAAGTGTGCTTCTCTGAGTGGATCAGGCTGGCACTTTAGTTGAAACCAGGTACTTTTCTTTTTGGCTTCTTTCTTTTTCTGGTCATTTTCCTTCACATATTTTAGCAAGCTATGTCTACTCTTAGAATGCTTAATATGCTCAACACGGGGGCACATTAATTCTCTTCTTGGCAAGAATCTTGCCCTTAACTTGTTTACAACAATGCCAGCACATGCTGGGTAACACTGTAGACTCTTCCGGTTTTGCCGTGGTAACATTCGTGGGGCATTCCTTTTTTAACAGTACCCATTCCCTTGATGTCTACAATGTCACCTTTCTTGTAGATTCCCATGTATGTTGCCAAAGGAACCACTCTGTTTTCTAAAAGGCCTAGAGAACATTTATCAGGTGCCTCTCCTCTTCCCCTTTGTGTTCATCATTTTGGTTAATTACTGGAAGATGGTGGTTCTGGCCAAAAGGACCTTACTTGTATTTTAATACCAGTAGTAGGTAAAATGTATTGCAAGTGCTGTCTGCCTCATTTAAAACACCTCAAAATGTATTCATTTATGTGTGTGTGTGTGTGTGTGTGTATGTAGATATGTGTATGTGGGCATGTGTATATATTATATATTTAGTGGAGATAAAGATTATCCAGAAAAGAGATTACCATAAACACACACACACACATATAAAGGGCTAGAGGACTAAGAGGAAGAGCAAGTGGCTGGGCAACCTCCTCCAGTTCCCCCCCCCCCTGCCACAGACATCCCTTCTCAAGATAATTCCAGGTTGTAGTCTCCCTTAGGCTAGTCGCGCATCCCGCCGAACAGACCCACCATGCCAGAGAGCTGCTTCAGACAGCTGCTGCTAACAGACTTTCACGCTATCCTGTCCCTTCCAGCTCCAGAAGGCAGTCCTCTGTTATCTTTGTCCAGAGTAAACTCTTTTAGAGCAACTTACATGTATCATAACCCTTTTACTCGAATAAAAGACCCTCACCTTTTCAGGGTCAGTGGACATTTTTTCATTTCCATTTGGCCATGCTGCTGGTCGGTCTTATCTTTATTTGATGCTGGCTTTGTGAAACCAATGAATTCCCTTTTCCCATGTAACTTGTTTACTGTGGTTCTTTTTGTCATTTTATATGTGTGTGTGTGTGTAATAAGTATTTTGTACACACACACACACAGAGGACCAATTTTTGAAGTGCTAACAGCCACAACGCTGAGATGATTAGACATGTAAGTGTTTACTTGACACTTTTGTTTGTTTGCTGTAGGACACGTGCACTCATTGGAGAAATAGAGGGAAAGTAAAAATGCACCACCCTAGAAGGGTGGCCATGCTGCAGTCCCTTCTCCATTTCTCCTCTTGGAATCTTAGGCATGCATGCACACAAGCCCAGTGCGTTTTTCTAACCACCAGGTCTGGGAACCAGCAGTTAGCGTAATGGCTTTGTTGCTGGACTCCCATGTAGTCGACCGCAGTTCGCGTCCCGGACCCGGTGACTTAAAACTCACGCCGGGCGCATGTGCGTGCGTGCCCAAGATCCCGAGAGGAGAATGGAGGAGAAGGGATTGTGGCGTGACCATCCCCCCTGGGGGGTGATTTCTCGCTGTCTCTATGTCTCTCTCTGTCTGTCTGGCGAGCGTATGCGCCCTATAGCAAAAACCTCTCAAAGCAATCAAACCACCAGGTCTGAGATTTGAACTAGTCAGCTATGTGGGATCCGGTCATATTAACTTCCGTCGGCCCGAGTTTTTCTTTCCTTTTTTTTTTTTCCCCAATGTTAGAGGCAAGATTCAACCTTTCAGTTTGTTCCTGTTTGTATTTTATATTTCCCAAGTATTCTTTTTTGGGGGAGAGGTTTTTGCTATAGGGTGTGTGCACTCGCCAGAAAGACAGAGAGAGACAGAGAGATCGAAAGCGAGAAATCACCCCCCAGGAGGGATGGCCATACCACAGTCCCTTCTCCTCCATTCTCCTCTCGGGATCTTGGGCACGCATGGACATGCACCCGGCGTGAGTCCGGGAACGAACCATGGTTGGCTACATGGGAGTCCAGCGACATAGTCATTACACTAACTGCTATTCCTTACCTTCTAAAGTGTGTAGATGATATACAAGAATACTTGGGGGAACCAGCAGTTTGCGTAATGGCTATGTCGCTGGACTCTCATGTAGTAAACCGTGGTTCAAGTCCCGGACCCGGTGCCTTAAACTCACACTGGGTGCGAGCGTGTGTGTGCCCAAGATCCTGAGAGGAGAATGGAGGAGAAGGGACTGCGGCGTGGCCATCCCCCCGGGGGATGATTTCTCGCTTTCTGTCTCTATGTCTCTCTCTGTCTTTCTGGTGAGTGCACGTGCCCTATAGCAAAAACTTCTCCAAAAAAAAGAAGGTAAGGAGTATTTTCATATTTAACATGTAAGGTGAGATTAAGAAACTCCTGGAGCAAGAGATGCTTATCCCTTTCCCTCATCTTAAGATGGGTTTCCTGAGTTGTGAAATGTGTTAAGAAAAGATTGCACTTTCAGCAACTAAATCTAGTGGAGACACAGGAAAACTCGAGAGTCAGCTGGATCTGGAGAGAATTATAACTTTTGCAATTGCAATTAGATTTTCTATACTTCTAGAAATCTCAAAGTGCTGAACTGCCTATGTCAGAATAAAAACTTTCTAGCAGCTTTTATCTGTTCAGAGTAAACAGACACAAGACAACTTACTGCCACAGAGGAATTAACCGTAGCTACCCTGTGCCCTGCTCAATGGGACGCCTCTGCCTATGCTTGTTTATATGTGTGATATATTATAAAAAGACAGACAGTAACGTGTCATATACGTCAGCCTCCCCACAAGAGAAAGCTAGGCCATTACAGATTCTGAACTGTAATGATCGTTAGTGACATTCAGTGACCCTGACAAGGGATAACAGGAAAGACAGTTTGCACTAACGGGGCTAGAAAGGTACGCTGTGGTAGAACCCAGGGGACTACTGAGCAAAGTTCACTAAACTCAGCATGTGACAAATAAAATGGACAAAGATTTTTTATTGACAAAGATGGTAGGGAAAAAATTTTTATTTTCAAGGATTTGTGCAGACAATGGTGAATAAAAAAATTGTATTTCAACTATAAAAAGGAGCTGACTTCATTCCATCCTGGCATAAAGTTTACAGTGATGCCAGTTTGAATCTGAGGCAATATTAATATCCCTATTTCTCCACCCCTAAAAGATTCCTCCAGAGGAATAACTTCCTTTAATTTTTAGTTGAAAATAATGTAAGACACAGCAACCAAAGTGATGAGTTATCAATGTTCTGCTTACATAAAGTCAGGAAATGAAATAAGCTGTGTGTTGTTTCTTGCTGTAAATTACCTTCATCTTGTGCACTTTTTGGTACATTCTGGTGTGAAAATGTCTCAAAATATAACAACTCAAGAGTTTAGGTCAAGATGACCCACCCGGTAGGCTGTAAAAACTGGTCTGAAATAGAACTGTGGGATGGAACCAGTTTAAAATATGAAGTAGCTCTAAGCACCAAACTTAGAGACATTAGCCCTATTCAAACCAAAAGTCATTAAAGCTACAAAATAACAAGTGCAAAACATGCTGAACCTGTTCCAGGGAGTGACATCCCCTTTGGCCAACAGATCCCAAACTCACACCCACAAGGTGTACCTCTTCTCTCCTGTCCCACTAGATTGGCTTTCTTTCATGTGAAAGATCCTCAGAAACGTCAATGCAAGACACGTGAATCATTAAAATTTACCCTGTGGACCAATTCCTGAAGAGATAACAGCCACAACTCTGAGATGATTAGACATGTAGTGTTTTCTTGATGGCTTTCTATACTTCTAGAAACCCTCAAAGCACGGAACTGCGTATGTTAGAAGCTAAACTTCGCAGCAGCTTTTATTCTTTTAGAGTAAGCACAAAAGACAATTTACTGCCACGAAGGAGTTGACTGTAGCTAACGCGTCCACAGTTAAGTTTACTGTAATGGACAATTCAGCTGGAAGACCTATGCCTATGCTTATTGTAATATTTAACTTGAACTTCTTTCAATTTCAGCTACAAAGCTCTGTTTTCCTTTCCTTCAGAGAATACTCTCAATTTACTTGTGGATTCTATGAACTGTCCAAACATGTTGACGAATACCAGCAACTTCCCTCACTTGAATTTCTCATGTTCTTATAGCAAATAGAAATTTCAGACACAACTAAATACTGCCATATGAAGCAAATTAAGAGTGGACAAGAAAAACAAGTAATCAGCTAAAAATTGCCATAACAGCCCAGATTTAAACAAAGAGTAAGTTTCTATCTTTTATAACAAAACTTCCATCTAACATCACAATAAAGTCTTATACTGGATGAGTTTACTAGTATAGGAATATACTAGGTTGATTTATTTCTTCTACCCTAATTGCAAATATATTAATTAAGCACTTATTTCTTCAATAGTTTCTTTTCCCAAGTGGTGGCACTAAGTAATTTAGAAAATATAAAAATGCTATAGGAAATAGCAACAGTTGACTCACTTTTCATATGCCATTTGATCAAGTAGTCTTCTCTTGGAAATACTGGTGAACAGAACATTTTTTTCTTGTTTAAGTCACTGTTTTCTGGTCTCATCACAGATAGATAATGCCCAAATTTTACGGAGGCCCGGATTCTCCTGGCAAAACTCTCGAGCTCCTAGCATACAACACAGCTACTTCATCTGCTGTCTTTCTGAAATGAGGGCTGTGCCTCTCTCCCAGTTCCAGATGGGTATATGAAAGAGAAATTTCTAAAGCCAAATCATTTCTTGGCATTGCATATCTTGTTTCCCACCCAGCAACCTGGTTCCCCAATTTGCCAAATCCAGATCAGACAGAAAATTTAAGTCTTGAAAATGAGCTCTCCTCCCAAGAGGTCTGAACACAGCCTATTTCCTTCTTAGTGAGCCTCAGTCTGAAAAAATCCTGAAAAACAAAATAGGTGACAAGTGCTTAAGCAGGAGGTATGTAATCAGATCACCATGGGGGTTAATTTATCTGGGCATCAGATGCTCTCTGCCAAGGACCAATTTACACACGGATCAAAGGAATTTGGCTTCCTGGAGTCCCCTGAAGCATAAATGATGTCCGTGACCATGAGGAGATTTCCCCACGGAGGGTGGGGGCAGATGCTGTGGTATCATCCTGGGGACTTTGATGATTTTAGCTGAACTCTCCTCTGCTGGGTCCAGGTGCCCGACAGGTTGTTCTCCCCATCTCCTCGGTTGGCAGTCGATGAGTCGGATGCTTTGGAATTCATTTTATAAACAGCACGTAAAAGGCCATTACAACACAGGCAATCGCCACGGCAGCATGCAGCCTGGTTCCAATCACAGCAGCTAGCAGACAGAAGGGAAAGGAAGAAATCAACCTTGCCCTTCACAAAGTCTTCACTTTCAAACTGGTCTTTTGAAATTTCCAGTCACAGATATCAAGAGATCGATCAAGGGTCTCAGACATGAAATGTTTTTAAATGCTACCCTTATGCTCTAGGCTCTTGGTGAATATACTGTTCCCAAAATATATGGGGACCAGCAGACGGCGTAATGGTTACATCACTGAATGATCACACGGCTAACCGTGGCTTGCGTCCTGGACCTGGTGACTTGAAACTCACGCCAGGCACATGTGCACACATGCCCAAAATCCTAAGGAGAATAGAGAAGGGACTGTGGCATGGCTATTCCCCCAGGGGGGTGATTTCTCATTTTCTGTCTCTTTCTGTCTCTAGCAAGCGCAAATACCCTATAGTTAAAAAACAAAAACAAAACAAAAAAAAACTCTAATATATATATATATATATATAT